GGGAGCTCTCAAGGCAGTGAGCATGGTGATTTAAGGAGTGAGCTGGGGAGAGGACGCAGTTTTGGTCAGAGCTTGGCTCAGGGCCGCCATCAGCTGTGCTTTGTAACAATCACCACCTCAGGCCATTCTGCAAAAACACGCTGACAGCTGCTGCCTAGACTTGAGCAAACCCTCGCTGTTCCTGCTTCTCCTGGGAAGCACCCAGGACTGCTGTGAAGCCGTCCCTGAGGCCGGTCCCTTTCCCTCCCGTTCACCTGAGTGGCTCTACGAAGGTGGGAAACCCTGTAGAAAACTCCAGAGGACAAAGAGCCTGTCCCTTGTGCTCAGAACAGGAGATGGAGCCACACTGTTATTGTGAAGGGCCGAGCTGACTACCAAGGCGTAACTATTATAGGAGCAAAAACATATTGTTTCTCTCACTTGGAATAAACAAGGCTGGAGTATGTTTGGAGCTTGCTCTCGAGAAGGCTCTGAGCACCTCAGCTGTGACACTGCATCACTGGGAGGGCAGGCTGGAAGGAGATGGCCCCTGGGTGCAGGGACACCTGTACCCCACTCCTGGCTGTTCATAGCCCATGGGCCTCCGAGACGCGAGGCGGCACAGGGGAAGGGGCCTTCCTGGTGATCCTCTTTTCTGGCTAATGATTCACAACAACCCTTGTGTTTGGGGGGAAGACAAGATTAGGTGTGTGCTTTGCAATACGAGAAGAGCGAACAGCTGCTTTTTCTCAGCAAGCACGCACCCGGACAGTAAGGTGCTCAAGCACACATTAGGGAGGGCTGGTCTGCTGCGGGCACACGAGGAGGATGGGGCCCCACAGCTCAAAGGCCAGCGGGGGAGGGCGCAGGAAAACAAGGGAGCAAATGCATATGAGTGATTATACATTGTGATACCTGTAAAGTGAGGGGAGGGTACGGAGGGAGCGTGCAGAGCAGGCACACGCCTCCGGCACGGTGGTCAGGGGAGGAGGCCCGTCTAAAGAGAAGACGCAAGGAGGGCAGAGGGAGTCGGGCAGAGGGAAGGGGCACCGGCTGAGGGGTGGGGTCGGGGCTGGTGTCTGAGCACAGAAAGGAGGGCTGAATAGGGAGGCACCTTCTACAAAGACAAACCTGCCCAGAGTCTACAGGTGCAATCTTATCTGGGAAAAGGGTCTTGATGGGTGTCATCAGGATCGCTGAATCACGAGATCGCCCTGGCTTAGTGTGGGCCTAAACCCAATGGCTAGTGTCCTGGGAAGAGAAGAGGAGGTGAAGAGACGCAGAGAGAAGATGCCTCTGTGAAGGCAGAGGTGCAGCGGTGTGTTTACGGGGCAGAGAAGGCTGGCAGCTGCCAGGGGAGGCATGGGGTGGGCGAGAGGCCAGCGATGGCTTTTCCTTCAGACTTTCAAGAAGGAATCAACCCTGTTGACACTTTGATTTTAAACTCCTGGCTTCCAGAACTCGGAGAGGATGAATTTGTGTTGTTTTCAGACACCAAGTGCTGATAATTTATTATGGCAGCCACAGGAAATAATACCAGGGCACGGCAAAGAGCCCGGATTTCATTCTGAGTGCACTGGGGAGTGACCAGAGGGCTGAAGCAAGAAGAGATTGTAATTGGCTTTACAAGAGAGGGGATGTCTCTGGCTTTCTGTGGAGAATGAGTCTGAGGAGGGGGAGCACAGGGTAAACAGGGAGGCTGATGCTGATGGTTTGAAAAGACCCTGAAACATTGCTGCTGGGTCCAAACCTGACCTGCCGCTGCAGGTTGTGTGACCTGGAGCAAGTCACCTAACTTCTATACGATTCAGTGTTATTTAATACGTACAATGGGGATTAAAACAAGATTGCCTCTCCCTTATGGCAGCTTTAGGTGATTTACTACATGTGGCAAGTCACCTAACTTCCATAAGATTCAGTTTTTAACATGTACAATGGGGATAAAAAAAAGAATGCCTCTCCCTTACGGCAGCTTTAGGTGATTTACTACGTGCAAATGCCTAGAAGGGAAGCTGGCACCTGGTGAGAGCCCGTGTGCCCTGTTCTTATCACAATCAGATGCGGAGGAGGAAGGGAAGGGACAAGGGGACACGCATCGACTTCGGGGCTTTGAACTCAAGTTATGCAACAGCTGGTGGTGCTATTTACTGAGGGGGACGTGGGCTGGGAGGGGAACTAGGGGGAAGTGAGAAGGAAGTTTAGGAAGGGAGTTATGTTTGAGGTGTCCGGGAGAAAAACCAAGGGACTGTGGATGGTGGGACTAAGATAAAAACAGGGCACAAAGGGGCCCTCACCAGATGCCAGCTTCCCTGGACACTTGGGGGCAACACAAAATGCCGCTGGAGTGTCCCAGAGCAGAGAAAGCATCGGGGATGGGGACAAAGCATGTGGGCACCTTAGCCAACATCATCTTCACAAAATACAAAATCTAGTCACATGAAAGTTGTGCCTAACACAATTAATCAGCATTAGTAACATCTTGGGCTTCCAGGTGGCTCTAGTGGTAAAGAATTTGCCTGCCAATGCAGGAGACTTAAGAGATACAGGTTCAGTCCCTGGGCTGGGAAGATCTGGAGGAGGGCACGGTAACCCACTCCAGTATTCTTGCCTGGAGAATCCCATGGACAGAGGAGCCTGGCGGGCTACAGTCCACAGGGTCACAAATAGTTGGAATGACTAAAGCGACTTAGCACACATGCTCGAAATAGCATCTTATTCTTGCAACAGAGCCTTCACCTAAACACAATTGTATTGTTGGGACATACAGTTCTTTCTGAGGTATTTAAAGAGTCAGATACTTCTCTACTATGATATTTATTTGGTGTCACCTGACCTGAGATGAAGTATGTAATGTGCCAAAGGACAGCAGTCTTTGATCAGGGCACCTGAGCTCCAATCAGAAACACGGGACAACCATGACAGCCACAGCCTTTGCAAACTGTGCTCTGCAGTTGACAAAGCCTTTCCTTCTCTGAGTCTCAAAATAGCAAGGTAGGAGGCAGGGTATGTGGTCGTGCCCCTGTTTTTCTCTTAGTGCCAATATCAAGAGGGGTCATGAATTAAATATAGACCAGGTACTCCATGTGGATCCCCATGGATTGTTCCAATTTTTAGATAAATAAGCCGGTAACAGTCACATGTTGCTACGAAAAGTGGCCCTGGGATTTGAAGTCTAGCTCCTCCTACTGTACCTACTATACTCTACTTCCTGTCACAGAGGAAACTGAGAAGCAAAGAAAGAAGGATCCACCTTGAGGTCACAGGACCAATAACCAACAAAACCAGGCCCAAATCTCCATACCATGATTCCAAACCCAGAGCTCTCTTCTTCTGGGCCAGAGGTGGAACTATTTTAACATCATCACAGAGCAACGGAAAAACAGAAACCAGTATTAATTTCTCACCACTTAGCTACATACCTCTTCTAATCATCCACCCACCTATGATGGCTAATTTTACATAACAACTTGACTGGCCATAGGGTGCCAAGGTTGAAAACTATTCCTGGGAGTGTCTGTGAGTGTATTTCTGGGTGAGATGCACATTTGGATCGGTGGATTCCCAGAGCAGATGCCCTCCCCAGTGTGGGTGGGCATCTCCCAGCCAACTGAGGGCCTGATGAGAACAAAAGCCCTCACTGAGCTGGTATGTTTACTCTCATCTTCTCCTGCCCCTGGAGTGATATTTACACATGTGCTCCCTGGTTCTCTGGCCTTCATACTGAATTACACCTGGGCCTCCAGCTCAGGTGGCAGATCAAGGGATTTCTTAGCCTCCAGGACCATGTGAGCTGATAATAAATCATATATATATGGCTATGGGTTCTGCCTCTCTGGAAAATCGTAACATACCACCTATGCTTTTAATTAAGAACTCACTTCTAAAAGTTTAAATACCTACCTACCATGCATCAGGTACTCTGCTAGGTGCTGGAAGAAGTTTTAATAAGACACAGTACGTAATGCCAATTCTTATGGCGCTACCAGAGAGTACAGTGTTCTCGGCATTGCCTCAACTGTGAGCACAAGTTTTCCTTTAATCCAGAGGATCCAGAGGTTTTCAGCCTTGGCTGGACATTGGAATCACCTGGAGAGATTCACACATTTGACTCCTTGGCCCCACCTCCAGACTTTGTGATTTGATTGGTCCGGGGTATAACTTGGGTGTCAGAATTTTTAAATACAAGAAGGGTTTGCTAATCACTCATTACTGTGATTTAACTGATGATATAAACCATTTCCTTTTAGTCATAATTTATAACTTTCTCATTTTCAAAATTAATGTGATGTAGTTAATAGCACACAAGATATAAAACAGATTATTTAAAGAAACATTAAAAGTTGGAAATTTCAAGAGAAGAAACATGCCAAACCTGTGATAAAGGAATTGCCACAACTGAGGATAAGATCTAGCTCTGAGTTTTTCAGAGCAAATGTATAGAGGTGAACAAGGGTTATCATAGGTGAACACAGTGTCATCAAAGTCAATAAAAGGAAGCCTATGAGGGAGGAAAAAAAAACAACCCAAAATGTTATCTTCTGTCAGCTCTAAAGGACAGGTAAAAGATACCTGGATACACAAGAGCAGAACCCACAAATGCTCTGTGACTTTTCAACAGCCAGGCTGCTCCCAGTTCAGCTCTTAGCCAATTTGAAAGTCAGCCCTGTTTTCCCGAAGGTCTGCCGGCTTCCCTGGGATGACCCTCTTCTAAGGCAGCCACGAAGCAGGCCAGGAGGGACTGTCATCCAGCTGTCTCGGAAACGGTTCTGCCACGGCCCACGCAAGGGAGATGAGCCAGCTCCCCACAGGACTCACTGCCTCCCTGTCGCACAGAGAGCTCTGCTGAGCTGAGATGCCATTTGAGGTACACAAGGCCTGGCGCCCCGGACCTTTGGTTCGAGTTCACTCTTCTTCAGCTCAAAGCCTCAGTGGGAGACAGCCGCTGCTCTGCTAAGGCAGCGAGAGCTGCGGTTTGCACACCCTGATCCAGGCACCCTGGAGAAGGCTGGCGGGGGACTTACGGAGGGTTGTCACATTTCCTCTGCCGGAAGCGGGCTCCAGTCCCACACGTGCGGCTGCACATGCTCCAGGTGCCCCAGGGGCTCCAGTCTCCGTCCACATGCTCCGGGATGGGTGTCTTGCTCACGCACTCCCCCGCGCGGCACCACTGAAACACAGCAGGGCGGCAAAGCTGCTCACTCACGGATGACCGAGGTCCATTCCAGGCGAGAAAACACCATGCCCCCAAAGCCCCCAATTTTCATAATTTACACAAAAGCAGACTATTTCGGCGTGTGTATGTTTGCTAACTTTGGTAACATTCCTTCCATATCCAACTGACATTTCTAAGGCTCTGGGGTTAGGATTTTGCCCTAAATGACATGATGTATCTGGTGTAGGTTCTCAAAACTCCCAGAAGAAAAGGATGAATGCACATGACTCACAGAGAGACTTCACCTTCTGCAAACTGTTTAGTGTGAGTCTTTCTGGAAGGCAGTATTTCCTGGCTCTGTAGTTCTGAACTTCAGATTTGGGATTGGTGCTGGGAGATGACACAGCTAGGGCCATGTAGGAGAACCATGGCTCTTTCTGAGGATAAGGGAAAGCCAATCCTCGAAAATAATTTCCCAAAGTGTGCAGCACAACCCCAGGGGCACAAGATGTGATTAAATAGTCGTGATCATAGCCCCTCTTTCAGTTCTTACAGTAAGACTAAAGAGAAAGCCTCAGCTTGTGGTGGCTGGCCCTGACCACCTCTAACACTTCAGTCTCTCCTGTTAAAGAAGATCAGTGTGAGGGCTGGTGCACTTGACCTCTAGCACCGTTCTCATTAAAATCATCTTATGACAGTGATTTGTACATGGCAAGTAATCCTGTTTTTCCATTTATGGTCTGCTGATATAAACATTTTAAGTAAATTCACTCATGTAACAAAAGGAGTTAATTTAATAAAAGTATTGAGTAAATGATTCTTGTATAAGAGGAAAGGAGAGAGGTGAATGTGTCCCTCCGTGCCTGAAGTGGGCTCCAAGGCATTTCTAGGGTTGCCCGGGGCATGTCAGGGGCTCCTGAGTGCACTTTCCAGAAGAGGTGCCAATGTGCAGAGGACATGGGACTGGCTGCCTGCTACGGGCAGTGGGAAGCAGGGTTACCTTGTCTGCCCCACACTCTGTGCCATCCAGGGGAGGGTCCAGTTTGGTCTTGCAGGACGTATCTCCTTCCACCAGGCACCACAGTCCAGCGCACATCAGATGCTGCTGACAAGGGAAGGAACGTGACTGCCGAGAACTTTGCACTCAGGGCCAGAGGCGGGGCCCCCTGACGGGTTTGGATTTGGGATATAAAACATGAGGGGAGGAGGAAGGGTCATGAATTTGCATGTCAAAAAAATAGATGCTTCATTTCAACTAGATCATTTAGCTCGACAAAATTCCGTGCATTTACTCCTAGGAGGGTGGGTCTCATGGGGGTTGAGCTCAGCAGTTCCTGAACTAGCTATTGAGGGCCTAGGAGGTGTCTGGCACAGGCTGTAGACATATTCAATGTAGGAAGGTATTGATACAAGGCAGACTCCACACGTCACGCAGAGCACACGGGAAAAGAACTGCAGCAAGCAAGCCTGCTCAGGGCGGGCTGGCTCTGGAGCTGAGGCTGGTACAGCAGCTGTATGACCTCAGGAGACAGATAGGCTCAGGGCCACCCTGGGCTTAAAGAGGCAAGCTTCAGTCCTCCCCAAGTCACCTGCTTTCTAGCTCAGCTGAGCCATGTGTGATTTCTTATAGTATTGCACCTACAGAAATTTCTTACCATCCACGAATATACAATGAAAATAATTCTGCTGAAACAGGAACAGGCATTTAAAAACACAGATTCCCATTTGTATTAATGGGAAACTCAGACACGAGAAAGTGCTCAGAAGGAGACAATGTACCAAAATAACCGAAGCAGGCATAGGCCAGTGTCCTCCCCGTCTGCCTTGGTCTCCCCTGCAGGACAATGTCTGCAGGACCTGCTGTCTCCCTGACTTCCCTGTTGTTAAGAGCTGTCCTCTGGCCAGGGAGCAACCTTGACCACAAGGGAAGGAGGACACCCATCTCCTGGGTGAGAGGCTCCGAGGGTCCCAGGGGTGGCCTGTTGCCCACACATAGTGCGTCTTGCCTGATTCCCCCCTCACTTCCCTGCACCCTCAAGGGCTTCCTGTGATCACTTCCCAGATAAACTCCTTGCACCCAAACCCTCGCCCTGTGGTCTGAAAATTGAGAACAGATGTACTGAAGGCTCTTGAAAGACACAGTACTTCCATGATGTCAGAGCCAATCAGGCTGACAAGGTCTGCGGGGAGTGGGAGAAGTCCCCTTCCGGGACCTGACCCAGGACCCGCAGGCACACCTTGGGCAGGGTGACAGTTAAGGGTCCCCTTGTGGGCTCTTGAGGGGGTGGGGGCTCAGTACAGAGGCCGGCTTTTCCAAGTAATTGTGAACATCTGCTCAGAGGAGAGTGCAACTGTGCTGTCCAAAGACAGAAGATGTTTAGATGTTGAAAGGACAGAAACAAAGGTGCAAAGGGAGGGAAAGCAGAGCCGCCGGGCTTGACAATGAGCTCAGAGCAGCCCACGGCCCTTTCTCATTTTTCAACTATGTCGGAGCTGCTCTGTGACCTTAAAGATACTGATGAGTTTGAGCGGAATTTTGCACAGTGGGGTTCGGAAAAGCCCCCACATTCCCATGACTGTCTGCCCCTCAATGGAGCAGTAACAGGATGAGCGGCTGGAGCGCAACAGCGACTGGTCCCATAAAGACTGACAGCATCTTGTTAAATATGTGATCTCGTGCACTTTGACCTGAGAGCTCTTCCAGAGGGTGGGGTCAGTGTGTGGACACGTGTTCATGAGACAAGGCGGGCCCAGGAGGTGAATTTATGGGGATGGTGAGGGATTAGGAGACCTAACTGCCCTTTAGAAGAGAGAGGAAGACTGGTGCAAACTGTTTATTATGCAATTTATAGACAGTTTAAATCCCCAGGTCGGTAGGTGCCCAATATGCTACTGGGGATCAGTGGAGAAATAACTCCAGAAAGAATGAAGGGATGGAGCCAAAACAAAAACAATACCCAGTTGTGGATGGGACTGGTGATAGAAGCAAGGTTAGATGCTGTCAAGAACAATATTGCATAGGAACCTGGAATATTAGGTCCATGAATCAAGGCAAATTGGAAGTGGTCAAACAGGAGATGGCAAGAGTGAATGTCGACATTCTAGGAATCAGTGAACTAAAATGGACTGGAATGGGTGAATTTAATTCAGATGACCATTATATCTACTACTGTGGGCAGGAATCCCTTAGAAGAAATGGAGGAGCCATCATAGTCAACAAGAGTCCAAAATGCAGTACTTGGATGCAATCTCAAAAACAACAGAATGATCTCTGTTCATTTCCAAAGCAAACCATTCAATATCACAGTAATCCAAGCCTCTGCCCCAACCAGTAACACTGAAGAAGCCGAAGTTGAATGGTTCGATGAAGACCTACAAGACCTTTTAGAACTAACACCCAAAAAAGATGTCCTTTTCACTATAGGGGACTGGAATGCAAAAGTAGGAAGTCAAGAAACACCTGGAGTAACAGGCAAATTTGGCCTTGGAGTATGGAATAAAGCAGGGCAAAGGCTAATAGAGTTTTGCCAAGAGAACGCACTAGTCATAGCAAACACCCTCTTCCAACAACACAAGAGATGACTCTACACATGGACATCACCAGATGTCAACACCGAAATCAGATTGATTATATTCTTTGCAGCCAAAGATAGAGAAGCTCTATACAGTCAGCAAAAACAAGACCTGGAGCTGACTGTGGCTCAGATCATGAACTCCTTATTGCCAAATTCAGACTTAAACTGAAGAAGGTAGGGATAACCACTAGACCATTCAGGTATGACCTAAATCAAATCCCTTATGAATATACGGTGGAAGTGAGAAATAGATTTAAGGGACTAGATCTGATAGACAGACAGCCTGATGAACTATGGATGGAGGTTCATGACATTGTACAGGAGACAGGGATCAAGACCATTCCCATGGAAAAGAAATGCAAAAAGGCAAAATGGTTGTCTAAGGAGGCCTTACAAATAGCTGTGAAATGAAGAGAAGCGAAAAGCAAAGGAGAAAAGGAAAGATATACCTATTTGAATGCAGAGTTCCAAAGAATAGCCAGGAGAGATAAGAAAGCTTTCCTCAGTAATCAATGCAAAGAAGTAGAGGAAAACAACAGAATGGGAAAGACTAGAGATCTCTTCAAGAAAATTAGAGATACCAAGGGAACATTTCATGCAAAGATGGGCACAATAAAGGACAGAAATGGTATGGACCTAACAGAAGAAGAAGATATTAAGAAGAGGTGGCAAGAATACACAGAAGAATTGTACAAAAAAGATCTTCATGACCCAGATTATCACAATGGTGTGATCACTCACCTAGAGCCAGACATCCTGGAATGTGAAGTCAAGTGGGCCTTAGAAAGCATCACTATGAACAAAGCTAGTGGATGTGATGGAATTCCAGTTGAGCTATTTCAAATCCTGAAAGATGATGCTGTGAAAGTGCTGCATTCAATATGCCAGCAAATTTGGAAAATGCAGCAATGGCCACAGGACTGGAAAAGGTCCGTTTTCACTCCAATCCCTAAGAAAGGCAGTCCCAAAGAATGCTCAAACCACCGCACAATTGCACTCATCTCACATGCTAGTAAAGTAATGCTGAAAATTCTCCAAGCCAGGCTTCAGCAATACATGAACCGAGAACTTCCAGATGTTCAAGCTGGTTTTAGAAAAGGCAGAGGAACCGGAGATCAAATTGCCAATATCCTTTGGATCATCGAAAAAGCAAGAGAGTTCCAGAAAAACAACTATTTCTGCTTTATTGACTACGCCAAAGCCTTTGACTGTGTGGATCACAATAAACTGTGGAAAATTCTGAAGGAGATGGGAATGCCAGACCACCTGACCTGCCTCTTAAGAAACCTGTATGCAGGTCAGGAAGCAACAGTTAGAACTGGACATGGAACAACAGACTGGTTCCAAATAGGAAAAGGAGTATGTCAAAGCTGTATATTGTCACCCTGCTTATTTAACTTATATGCAGAGTACATCGTGAGAAACGCTGGGCTGGAAGAAGCACAAGCTGGAATCAAGATTGCCGGGAGAAATATCAATAACCTTAGGTTTGCAGATGACACCACCCTTATTGCAGAAAGTGAAGAAGAACTAAAAAGCCCCTTGATGAAAGTGAAAGACGAGATTGAAAAAGTTGGCTTAAAATGCAACATTCAGAAAACTAAGATCATGGCATCTGGTCCCACCACCTCGTGGGAAATAGATGGGGAGACAGTGGAAACAGTGTCAGACTTTATTTTTTTGGGCTCCAAAATCACTGTAGATGGTGACTGCAGCCATGAAATTAAAAGATGCTTACTCCTTGGAAGGAAAGTTATGACCAACCTAGATAGCATATTAAAAAACAGAGACATTACTTTGCCAACAAAGGTCCATCTGGACAAGGCTACGGTTTTTCCAGTGGTCATGTATGGATGTGAGAGCTGGACTGTGAAGAAAGCTGAGCGCCAAAAAATTGATGCTTTTGAACTGTGGTGTTGGAGAAGACTCTCGACAGTCCCTTGGACTGCAAGGAGATCCAACCAGTCCATCCTGAAGAAGATAAGTCCTGGGTGCTCATTGGAAAGACTGATGCTGAAGCTGAAACTCCAATATTTTGGCCACCTCATGCGAAGAGTTGACTCATTGGAAAAGACCCTGATGCTGGGAGGGATTGGGGGCAGGAGGAGAAGGGGACGACAGAGGATGAGATGGCTGGATGGCATCACCGACTCGATGGGAACGAGTTTGAGTAAACTCCGAGAGTTTGTGATGGACAGGGAGGCCTGGCTTGCTGTGATTCATGGGGTTGCAAAGAGTCGGACATGACTGAGCGACTGAACTGAACAGAACTGAACTGAATCTTGACTTTTCTAATCATCAAAGTAAAAGGAGAATGAGGTCAGGCAAAGATTTCTTAAATAGAACACAAAAAGTACAAAATGTAAGGGAAAGAAACTGATGAATTTAAAAACGATATTAAATATTAAAATGAGCTGGGGTGGGGAGATGTTAAAATAAAGAACCTGTGTTTATCAAAAACAACTGTAAGAAAATGAGAGATGTTTGCAATGGGAGAAAGATTTGTAAGGCACAGAACCAACAAAGA